TCTGTCCCGGTGTAAGGACTGAGTCTTGGTCTTCAGATCACGCCCGAACGATTGTTTACCGTTCGGGTAGATGTATTGTTGTGGGTTTATCCTACCTACACTAGTAGCTAGAGTTGCGGTGGGAATTACTACACCACAAAGACACCTTCTTTAGTCGACAGAATGGTGGTGGGTCGGTTATGATTTGGGGAGGATTCTCGTCGAAGGGTACGACCGATATAGCGTTTCTATCTGGGCGTCAAAACTCTTTAGACTACCAGGAGACGCTTACCAGCTACTTGCTGCCCTTTAGTGAAGGCATGCATGAAGGAAGCTAGATCTTCCATCAAGACAACGCCAGCATACACTCGTCAAAGGGTACGAAGTCGTTCTTGAAGGAGCTTAACGTGTCTGTTTTAGACTGGCCAGCACTTTCTCCTGATTTGAATCCTAATGAAAACGTTTGGGGCATGCTTGTTCGTGACGTTTATTTCGGTGGAAAGCAGTACACGTCGATTGAAGAGCTCAAGATTGTTATTCGCCGTGCATGGGGCCGTATTAAGCTGGAAAGATTGCGGAAACTGATTGATTTGATGCCAGACCGCGTCAGCGCCGTTCTAGAGGACAAAGGCAAGACAACACAGTACTCGGAAGACTTTAAAACATGTACGGGTTTCAGAATGCAGAGGTTTTCGAGCGCGCGCAGACTTCTGCATCATGTAGTTAGCACAATGCTCAGCTTTCGTCAGGCCTAGTGGAGAGCGCTTGTACTTCATCGCTAAACGATAAGTGCTCAGTCCAAGCTGGCCGTTGGAGGATGCGTGAGTTCTTTGCCTTTTACACTTCTGGAATTCTAGAACTCCATGAAACTCGATTTTGACTATATTTGACAAGTGTTTTTTTTTCTTTCGATCTGAGCATTTCTTGTTTTGAACCGAGGATTTTGATCCGAAAAAGATGTATCTCGCTCGATGTCATCTCGCTCAACATTCAGCCGACCTTAAAATGTAAGCTGAACGTTGAGCAAGAGTAGCATGTTAAATATTTTGGTTATCCGTATCTGGGGTATCGGTCTGGGGTCGCGAACTCCCACAAGATTGCTAGCCACGCACTTTCTTTTGTATGCATGTAGAAGTCTAACCTCCTTGGTCTCGCGAGGACTTAACACCTGCCGGCCAGTGTCAGAGTGATGGTCACTCCTGTACTGTATCTATACAACCACGGACCGCCTTACCAAAAGAATTGTATGCTCCGATAGCTCTTCGTTTAAATAGCAATTCTACGCAGTTTTGGCTTTATTTGCTTCAAATTGACCTAATTATTTGCAAAATAGTGGTCCGCACAAATTTATGGCCAGCACTGTATTCCATTTTTTTTTCGGTACCCAACCGATGGTTTATTCTACGCGTTTCACCCCAAAATTCCATTATTCCATTAATCAAAACCCCCACTTTTACAACCCTGCTGGGAACCAGCCCAAAGCATGGTCGAGCGCGTCCACGAAGCAGCGCGACTGGCGCTCGTGCGAAGCGCTGACGGCGCAACCCGTTGGGTCCCGTACACCCCACCCGGCAGCTCACCGTCACCGCCTATCGAGCTGCGTCACAAGACCACTCCTCCGAGTGGCAGCGGGCGACTGGACTTGGACGCGTCCTGTTTTACAGGTAACCCGCACTTCAGCCTCGTGCAGACTGACAAAGGCTCCCCATCAGCGCAGAATTTGCTGGTATTTCTCCACGGCCGAGGCGACTCGCATGAGCCATTTGCTCGACTTGGAGAGCAAATGGCGCTTCCCCAAACAGGTCGGTGGCAGCACCAAGTTGTTTTTAAAAAGTCTAAGGAACTGACAGACGTATGTGTGTATCCACTGCAGCGGTGGTATCACTTCGTGCACCTCGAGAGCTTCCTCTCGGTTTGGGATTCACATGGATCGACGATCTGGATGCCACTGGGGACGTGATCCCACCAGATACTCCACACAAACACCGCAGTTTCAGTCTTCAGTTAGCACGCGATTACGTGTGGAACTTCTTTCAAGTGCTGCACGACAAGTACGGATGGAATTACTCTCGACTCTTCGTGTTCGCTTTTTCACAAGGAGCCTGTGTGGCGTTCCACTTGGCGATGACTTTGCCGCGTGACGTGCGGTTAGGAGGCATGGTGCTAGTGTCTGGAGGTGCAATTGTGGGGCCTCACTCCTCTGCTAATGCTTCAGATGCTGCTGCCACGCCAATACTGCAAGTCACAGGTGCACTGGACGACGTCTACCCGACAGCGCTAGCCGTGCTTACTCGCCGCGAATTCAAGAAGAGATATACACAAAGAGATACAGAACTGTTCACAAGCTTAGTGAGGCCACACAAAGGACACGCAATGGTCGACTCTCGTGAGGACATGCAGCACGTGATGCTCTTTTTCTCCAAACACCTGTACTTACGCAACATTGAGCTGGAGAACCGCAGCGACATTATCGAGCTCCAGATGTGAGCAATTCATGAACGCTACAGCAGCAATAGAGTTGGCGATCTTTTATGATTGACGATATGACCGAGACAAATAATCTAATCGGTCGGATCGCCGAAGTAGCGGATTACGCCATGGGACACTTGAATGAGACTGTCGTCTTCAAGCGAGCGGAGTGCCATCTGGAACTCTGCGCCTTTAACTTCGCTCTTGCGCTTCTCTTCCAGACGTCGGCGCGTTTCATGAATTGTCATCGACTGGTTTGGTGTATCGCCTAAAATCTCCTTCATACCCGCAATGAGATCGGCTAGGACCTCGCGTTCCAGCACACTGTGCCCCGTGTTGATCATATCCATATCGATAGTGCCCGTCCGCGGATCCATAGCGGCTCGTTGTGTCGCCACGTTCATAAGACGCAGCGCTTCATCGACATCACTTCGAGTCACGGTCTCGCACAGTTTGAGCTTCGCAAGCGCTTCGGAGATACGAATAAGTGACTCGAGCTGTCGCGGTGTTGCTGTGATGTTCTTCTTCGCTGATGCAGCGCTGACGCCGCCCATTCGTCGAAGATCTAAGTACGCGCGGATGAGTCCGTTCCGAGCTTCAGCTGACAGGCGTGGGTGGATGTTGCGCTTGGCGTACGCGATGTACTCGGTCAGCAGCTTCATACTGATAAGCTGCGGTGCTCCCTCTCCTCCTCGAGTTTGAGCACGCACACGTGCACGAGTCTCTTCGTCGTAGTACAGAGCGACGATGTGCTTCGCGAGCTTCCGGTCCGATTCGGGTTGCGGCTTGTCCAGGATGAGGTAGATGAGGTCGAAACGTGAGAGAAGCGTGGGCAGAATATTCACATTTTCCACCACAGACTTGTTCGGATTGTAGCGCGATTCGATGGGGTTGGCAGACGCAAGGATCGACGCTCGTGCGTTGAGCGAACAAATGATACCAGCCTTGGCAATACTCACTGTCTGTTGCTCCATAACCTCGTGGAGCACGGAGCGAGCGGAATCGCTCATCTTGTCGAACTCATCGATACAGCAGATACCCTCGTCGGAAAGAACCAGAGCACCCGATTCCAGTACGAGGTCGTTTGTCTCCATATCGCGGATAAGTGAAGCTGTGAGACCGACAGCTGAACTTCCTTTGCCTGACGTGTAAATACTTCGCGGCGACAGCTTGTGCACGTACGATAGCAACTGAGACTTTGATGTACCAGGATCGCCGCACAGCAACACGTTCATATCAGAGCGCATACTCTTCCGTTTCGGTGCCACTCCGCCGTGTTCGTGCTCGCCGTCGTCCTCGTTCACGCTGCCGCTACTGCCATCTTTGCGTGTGCCACCGAAGAGCATGCACAAGATCCCCTTTTTCACGTCATCCAGCTCCCAGATCGATGGTGCCAGTGAGTGAGCCAGGTTCTCATAAACTCGAGGGTGCGATGCAATGCGACGGAAAGCTGCCAGCTTACGTGCCTGTTGTGCATCCGCCGCAGCGGCGGCGTCTTCGTGCTCTTCGGAGGGGTCTGGCATCTCGACGTCGATATCTGCGGGGCCGATCACGCTTGTTTCAACATCTTGCTCCCGAGCAACGGAGCTGATACTCTCGCCATTCTCACCCTCTTCGCGCCGGGTGAGCTCGTCCACTCGACGGAAATGAACAACGTCCACGTATGTCTTGAATACAGACTTGACTACGCGCTGACGCGAGTTGGAGCGCATCGGCACTGCACGGTAAATGCCCGTCACTTCGACCTTGTCACCAGGTCGTACTCCATCGACGAGATCGTCGAACGCAAACAGGAGCACTGTGTACGGCGTCTCACCCTCTGGAATAGCGTCAGGGGTCTCCTGCATCTTGATCATTTGCTTGTCAGTGAAAGCGCAACGGTTGTGAATCATCTCCATGCTCATCCGGGTCTGGCATCGCGTGCAACTGGTGGGTTCCTCAATGCGTCCACGATCCAGAGCCACCTGTGTCGTCGCGTGGCACATCGCGCAGCGGAAGAACGCTTCTTTCAAGTCCGGCAACACGCCACTGCAACGGGTGACCATACCTTTCAGACATACCAACTGGTCGATATCTGCCGGGTTCAAATGGCGCATAGGAGACAGCTCTCGCAAGTTAAATGGTCGAACCTGGAGCGCCACATTAGCCACGTTGTCAAAAGCTGCGGGCCCGGCGCCAGGACCGACGAGCAGCGCGTGATACTCCTCCGTTACTACCATATCCAGGATACGGATAAGCACCTGAGGGAACAAAATCAGCTGGTTGTACAGTTTCCGCGCGCCACGAAATTGCCTCAAGTGCTGCGTATCTAGATCCAGTACGAGCGACTGGGTCAGTGCCAGTCTGCGCAGCGCCTTGATATAGTACGGCTCGTCATGCGTGTCATTGTTCTCCTGTCTGAACTGGTGCAAAAAGCCTCTGAAGAGCTCCATGCTCTCGGACACACTGATGTTGGTGCCCCAGACCACGGCGCCCGAGAAAGCTTGCTGCTCTTCCTGCTGCTGTCTCTGGAGCTGCGAGTACGCCGTCGCGGATGCGGATGCCGACGCAGAGGCCGACGCAGTGGAGGGCGGCGAACTGGGCGGCGACGCCGGTGGCTGCGGAAGTGACGCCTGTGTGGGCGCTGGCATACCGGATCTGCTACTGCGGATACTGGCCACGGAGCTGCTGCTGGGCGAAGACGGTGCGCCGGAACTCATGCCATCCGGGTTCATGGCGTGCGGCCCTTGCTGGAAGCTGTCGAGTCTCCATTCGCGACGACCCAAGTCTCCACGTGGCAGTTGGCGCTGAGCCATACGCCGCAGTTCCGCCTCCACGTCGTCTCCTTCCTGTCCGGCCGCGGAATCGTCGGCTGCAGCTCCGTAGCGACCTAAGTACCGAGGTGCCGGCGTGGCATCGACCGACGCGCTCATCTCCGCGAACCCGTAGCGATTGTGCATGTCTGTGGCGGACACGGCGGACGCGGACATGGCGGATGCAGAGACCGACGCCGACATGGGCGACATCGGAGATACGGGCTGGCCATCATCGCGCGGAGCCTCCGTGGGCGCTGAGATGGAGAGAGGAGGCTCGGAAGGTGGAGACGTTGGGGCCTCGCGCGTCAGGTACCGAGGCGCCGGTCGTGCGGGGCTTGTTGGCGAAGGCGGCGTCGCCGGAGGCGTCCCATTCCCGTCCATGGCTTGTCGAACCTAGGCCAATTTTGGAATTGTGCGCTTCGCGCCAAAATTTGTGTCTGAAAACTATCCAACAGCATGTCAATAAAATGTGATTTAGTCCTACTTGTTGCAACGCCTTCAACACCAGACGGTCACAAAGTCGTGCTGGCGCCTACAAGCTTTATACTCCCCATTGTTTATGATCATACGAACGAATACACACACACACGCCAGTTTATACGGCTTCCATGGCAGGTGTGGGCTCTGTGGCGGCTGCAGCTTTAGAACTGTTGCTGGAACTACTGCGCGGTGCACTGGCCGATCCCCTGTTTGATCCCGTCGACGAAGGAGGTGCCGACCCATTTGCCGCCAGCATCTCGCGCCGCTTCTCCTCTACACGCTTGGCGCGGATCTTGGACACGATGTCGTCCACGTCGCCCGTCTTCAACGCCGCGAAGCTGCTCTTCTTCTTCTTCAGTTTGAGCTGCTCCAGACGCTTCTTAGTTTCCTCTTCCCGACGAATCCTCCGCTCTTCAGCAATCCGCTTGCGCTCGTTGTCACGATCGGCTGACTGAAGCTCCTTGGCGAATGAGTAGAAGATGGAGAAGAACGCATCGGGTCCGCAGTCCGGACTCGACGGGTCTTCGCCGTAGAACGACGCGGTCTCCTCAAAGCTTTTTGTCATGGACTCTAGGTCCTCCGAGATCTTCTCCGAAGCCTTTTTTGCACGGTCAGCGAACGGCTTGACTACCTCCTGGAAGCGATCCGAGATCTTCTCCGGTTCTCCGTCAGAGTCCGGCACTGGCTCAGGCTGTGGGTACTCCTTCTCTGGCAACTTCGCGTGCACTTCCAGTTCGTTACAGATGAGATTCGCGGCCTTACGCACGGCACTCTCGCCAGCCTTGAGCATCTGAGTAGTGACACGACTTGCACTCTCGATAGAAGGCAGACTCTTGTCAAACTCGAGGATAGCCGGGTCCTTAGCACGCAGCACCCTGGCAACGTAGTTCAGCAGATTGATAGAGTTGTCAGCCGCCTTCACTTGGTTCAACTTGAGTAGAATATTCAACTTGAAACCCTTTGCTCCACCGCGCGCAGTGCCATCATTCAAAGCATTTCCAAGCGATAAAACAACACGGAAAATCTCCTTGAGAGGCTCGCAATCGTGTAGCTCGCGACATGCGTTCGACACCGACTCCATGAGCTTCCGCTGTTCCTCTACGTACGCGTCAAACTGCCACGTAGCATGAATCGCTTGTAACCGAGTGGTTAATCGAGGCACGCACAGCATCTCGCGGAAGTACTGCTCTGCATCTCCTAGCAGCTTCGGATCACCAGTGTAACCTCGTACAGCATCCAGCTCTTCGTCCTCCGGGGCAAACTGAAGCAGTGCAGATACTCGCTCAACAGACAATAACTCCTTATCGACCAGCAGCACCGCGTTCCGAAGCTTATAGTACGGCAGTCGGAACCGTGCCAGCATGATACCGATGTTGTTTGCTCGCTTCGCATCGATCAATGCAACACGCGTGGGCGCTCGCCGCTTCGTGGGCTTCTTTGCCTCAGCCTCCTTTGTCTTGGCAGGCTTGTTCACGAAGATATCCGACAGTTGGTCGACGAATTTGTCCAGCACGTCCTTCTTGGGCTTCGGTTTCTGAGCTTTTGCTCTTGCAGCGAACAGATCCGCGACGCTCGGAGGGCCCGCAGACTCCGCTGCCTTCTTCCCCTCTTCCTCTCTCGCAAAACTTTCCCAAATCGTGCCAGCTGTCTCCTCGCTCTTGACTGCCTCCCAGTACAGATTCCGGAGCTTAGGCTTCGGAGGTCCCGCCACAACAAGTTTCGCCGGTGTCTTCGGAGCTGTAGAGGATAAATCCTCCGGAACCATCTCGTCCGGTGTGTCTAATACTTTCGGGTCCAGTGACTCTGCGCTCATCTTGAGCTCCAGTTGTGGGCGCGGCATGCCCATCTTCAATAACTTAAAATACTTGACGTAGCTCGGATGTTCGGATGCCCTCACCTTCTTTCCGCTGCCTGCCTTAATCTCCTTCCCATCCTCATCTACCAGTTTGTCAGGCGTATCGAGAAGGTCACCATCCAGTCCCTCGGATGCAGCCTTCAGCTTGATGTGAGGTAGAGGCATCCCCATCTTCATCAACTTGAAAAACTTAGCAAACTTCTCGTGCTCCTTCACAGGAATACCCTTCGGAGTGGAGGTCTCGCCCTTCACTTCCTTTCCATCCTCGTCGACCAACTTATCGGGTGTTTCCAGCAAGTTGGCGTCGAGGCCCTCAGAAGAGGCTTTCAGCTTCACGTGTTCCATAGGCATTCCCATCTTCAGCAGCTTGAAGAACTTGGCAAACTTCTCGTGATCCTTCACAGGTACACCCTTAGGCTTTGCAGAAGCCCCTTCCACCTTCTTCCCGTCCTCATCCACTAGAACATCAGGAGTAGACAGCAACTCTCCATCTAAGCCTTCAGCAGACACCTTCAGTTTAATGTGTTCCAAAGGCATTCCCATCTTCATTAGCTTGAAGAATTTCGCAAACTTCTCGTGGTCCTTCACAGGAATCCCCTTCACAGCAGCTTCCGCGGCTTCAACAAACTTGCTTCCATCTTCATTCAGAAGAACGTCCGGCGTCGCTAGCAGTTCACCGTCCAATCCTTCCGCCAACGCCTTCAGTTTAATGTGTTCCACTGGCATCCCCATCTTCATCAACTTGAAAAACTTGGCAAACTTCACATGATCTTTCACAGCGATCCCCTGTGGAGCTTGTTCCGCTTTGCCAGGAACGAAAACCTTCCCTTCTTCATCCAAGAGCTGGTCAGGTGTGCTCAGCAACGACGCATCGAGCCCTTCCGCTGATGCCTTCAACTGAATGTGCTCAAGAGGCATACCCATCTTCATCAGCTTGAAAAACTTGGCGAACTTTTCATGTTCCTTCACCGGGATACCAGTGAATCCTGTGTCAACCGCACCATCTTTCACTTCATTACCGTCTTCGTCAAGAAGCAGATCGGGCGTCTCCAAAATCGAGCTGTCAAGGCCCTCCGCCGACATCTTGAGCTCAATATGTGGCATCGGCATCTTCTTCAGCTTGAAAAACTTCGCATACTTTTCATGCTCCTCAGCTCGCGTGCCCTTCTTCTCATCGGCTTCCTTCGTGATCTGGATCAGCCTGTCAGGAGTCTCCAAAATGGACGGATCGAATGTTTGTAGCTCACTGCTCATCTTAAGCTGCACGTGCTGTATCGGCATTCCCATCTTTAATAGCTTGAAGTATTTCATCAGATCCGGATGTTCATGCGCCACCACACTCGACAGCGTATCGTCCTCATCAGTTTCGTCAGACGTCACGTCCGACAGCGCAAGATCATCATGATCCCGGTCCTTGTTCTCGATCAGGATGATCGGACCCATTCGAAATTGAAACGTGGGGTCTTCGTCAGCACATTTCTGCAGGAACTGAGCGTACCGGTCTCGCATCTTCAGAAGCGTCTTCCGGTCATCGTATCCGAGCTCGAAGTTGCGCACTTCCTCGACTGGAGCCAGCAAAGTGATCTGCTTCATGACTTTTTCGGACAGCGCCCACATCTCCTTTCCAATCACTCGATCGCCAGGAATGAAGAGCAACTGCTGCAGAATCGATAGAAAGCACGCTTGGAGCTCGGGATCGTTCGTGACACTGTCAAATAGAGATCGGTACACACTATCTACCGAGGCCAGATCAGTGTGCTCATATATCGTGTCTTTCCGGTCATCCTCCATAAACTGTTCGAACACATCGATCTGCTTCTCCATGTTGTCCAGTTGGTTCCGCAGTTGCGTCACCGAGCTGCTTATGATGCTATTGCCTCCAATTCCGAAGCGTGGCCCACCCTTATTGTCCAGTGGAAGTGAAGAGCGGACGATTGTTCCATCAGGAGAAAGCGCCCCCGGCTCCCGATCTATGGGCGACGGTGGTGCGCTTTTGCTCGCTGAGAGACGGCTGGTTTGATCGTCACCCTTGTTTATTGACGATCGTCGACCACCCAGAGTCTTCAACGAGTCAAATCTACTGACGGGAGTTCCAGGATCCTTGCCCCGTCCAGTAACAGGAGATTCTGACGACCGAGAGCTCAAAACTGGCGAGGGAATATTCCGTGCAATATGCTTGTTCGGAAGAGGCGAAGGAGTTGCTGGGCCACCAGGCATCGGGGACGGAACTCCGTTGGAGCTTTCATCGGACGAGGCGCCAGCAACAGAGCTAGCGAGAGGGTATTTGGTGCGTTGAACAGCAAGAGATTTTGCACGGATCTCTTCGAAATAACCAGCCATCTTGAGTGCCATAAAGTCGGAGCGAATCGCTAGTCGATCTTCCAACCGGATGGCCTTATTCACAATAATATTGACAAAACTCAGCACGTCTTCTTTAAACACCAACGAGTACCGTGTCGATTTGAGCGCATCTCGCAGACAACTGAAGCGAATGGCCTCGCCCTTGGTCTCCTTGTAATGATCGAACGCCTCGATAACAGCAGAATGTCCAGCCGCGCTGTTGTAGCACACAATCCCAAGCAGCTGCAACGTATACTTCTTCACATCACCATTCTCTGTGTGGAAACACAACGCTACTCTCTTAACAAGCCCCGGAGTGTTGGTAATCGCCTCCACTCCTGCAGTAAAATGCGTCAGCGACCGTAAGATTCGCAAGATCACCTCGCAAATGCGCGTAGCCTTCTCGTACTTGGAGTTTTCTATAGGAAACGGAGACGGATCCGGCAGCTTCATGGTAAGGTAGTCTAAACCGAAATGCGCCAGGAAAGACTCTAACCAGTCCGTCGACACAATCGAGATCTTGCCCCGAAGCGCTTCAAGTTCCTTCAAGCCCTTGTTATCCCATTTCAGCTCCACCAGATTCTCCGCAAACTTTTCCGCTTCCGTCGCATTTGATTTCGTGTTGTCTTCGTTTTCATTCTGCTGTGCGTACCATACCACGTGCCATTTAGTCTCCAGAGACTCAATGCGAATCAACTCGTCCATCACATCTTCCGGCACTCCACGTTTCGACATCAACTCGCGATACATCTCGTCGACAGTGTCCCATTTCGGTGGCCTAGGAGGTTTCTCCTTCTCCTTGGGTGCTGCACCGCCTGTGGGTATCCTGGTGGCGAAAAAGTCGCGGAAATACTGCAATTTCTCGTTAAAATTCCCATCTTGAACAGGATTCGACATGGAGATCGAGGAGCGGAAGAAACTGTTGCGTCGCGGCTTGGACGACGTCGCGTGGTTGGTCTCCTGCTTCTCGGGCTCGCGTCGGAATTCCATCGCAAGCGGCCACGCCGTTGGATCTTTCTGCAGCTGCATCGCATGCTTTACAATCTGCTCAAATGGCATGTCGTCGATTGGGGTCTGGTGGATGATCTGAAGGATGTCGCCGACTTTGACGCGACCGGTTGACTCGACGTATCCGGGTTTGCCGCCTTGCAGCGGACGGAAGCCCTTGACGACTGCGCCGCGCTGCGGTTTGTCCCGCTCAATGTGTCGCGCTCGTAGGTCCAGTCCCAGTGGTCCCGGTGTTGGCACCTCAACTCGGAAGACCAGCGCGCGGTCGTTGGCATTGGGGTCACTACCGAAGAACGGGCTGCTGCTGGTGATGGACATGGACGACGGCATGCTCGTGATCGAGTTGGAATTCATGAGGTTGGGAGACTCACGCGGCGTGTTGGCGCCATTCAGCGATCCGCGGCGCTTACGCCACATCTACGCAGTCGGTCTCGTTGCTGCCCTGTTAAGTTTCTCTCCTGGCAGAGGGCGTCAGAAACCAGCCGAAACCGACACAAGAGTGGCCCCAGTCGAAGCGGTAGTCCGGAACCCTCGTTGGTCAATAGCTCAGCGAGGAGAGAAGCCTGGGTCTAGAGCTGTCGTGACGGGGTGGACGAGCACTTGGCTTCCTTCGTAATTGAGCAAGGGGAGCGCACTGAAAACGTCATAAAGCACTTTTCCTGAAAAAAAGTTCTTGCCTTGACTGCTGTGGCCCACCTTAATAAAAAAAGATCAAAAGTACCAATGCGCACTTTTTCCTATACAAAGTACTTTTTATTTAAAAAGCAGTCCACCCTACGGTGGTACAGTGTACCGGTATTGTGTGCTAAAACGCTTTTAGTCGACCGTACTGAAAGAGATAGATACTTTTAAGACCTAGTAGAAACTAATGCCGTGCTGCGCCCGGAAAGCTCTGGATATTTGGATACTTAATTCACAGTTCTGTGTATTATATCGTAATTACGAGGGATGTCTGTCACGATGGGTACAAACATCGGTATTTTTACATAGTCCGTACACAATTTTTTCGATAGCAAGCGGCCTGTCATGCTCGGCTCTTACCGGTACCTCCTGTATCGTCTAGGGTCGCGAGCGCTTATGGGATCCTACTGGTTCTACCGATACTCAACGGTTGTGTTCCTATCGATCAAAGATATGCTATTGTGACTTTCCAAAGTTTTGGCCAATCTGACCTTTAAAGGCTGGTCCTAACCAAGGGTGGGTAGGGCTATAGGTGGGATTTGAGGACGAACTGGAGTTGAATTGCTAAGCCAGGCCACTAAATAAAATGATATTTGACCAATAACACTGTTTGATTTTGCCGACTATGATCCAATAATACTTGATTGTGGAGGTCCTACGTAA